ACGTAGGAAGTGGTGAATAAAGTAGTAAAGGCGAGTAGTCTGGAGTGTTGAAACTGTTTATGACGATTAGATTAAGGTATCTGTATTCCTAAAATTCTATGGGAAGGGAGGAAAACAGGTCCGTGACGTAGGAAGTGGTGAAGGAAGTAGTAAAGGCGAGCAGTCTGGAGTTTGGAAACAGTTTATGACGATTAGATAAAGGTATCTGCATTCCTAAAATGCATGGGAAGGGAGGAAAACAGGTCCGCGACATAGGAAGTGGTGAAGGAAGTAGTAAAGGCGAGCAGTCTCGAGTGTGGAAACTGTTTATGACGATTAGATTAAGGTATCTCTGAATTCCTAAAATTCTATGGGAAGGAAGGAAAACAGGTCCGCGACGTAGGAAGTGGTGAAGGATGTAAGAAAGGCGAGCAGTCTGGAGTGTGGAAACTTTTTATGACGATTAGATTAAGGTATCTGCATTCCCAAAATTCTATGGGAAGGGAGGGAAACAGTTCCGCGACGTAGGAAGAGGTGAAAGATGTAGTAAGGTGAGCAGTGTGGAGTGTGGGAACTGGAAACCGTTTGTAGTAGTTTTAATGTATCTGCAATGCTGAAATGCTAGGAGTAGGGATGGAAGCATGCCCACGACATAGGAAATGGTGAAAGAATCAGTAAAGGCTAGCAGTACGGAGTGTGGGAATGTTTGTGGCAATTAGATTAACGTATCTAAAATACTAAAATGCTACGGAAAGTAATGAATACAGGTCCACGACGAAGGAAGTGGCTTAGGAAGTAGTAAAGTATGAGCATCAGCATAGTGTGGGATCCGTCTGTGGCAGTTAGATTAATGTATCTTCAATACTAAAATACTATGAGAAGAGAAGGAAACAGGCTCCACGACGTAGGATGTGGTGAAGGAAGTAGTAAAGGCTGGCAGTGCAGAGTGGGGGAACCGTTTGGTCAGTTAGATAAATGAATCTGTAATACCTAAATGCTATGAGAAAGGAAGGAAACAGGTCTATGACGTATTAAATGGTGAAGAAAGTAGAAAGGCTATCAGTGCAGAGTGTGGGAACTGTCTTTGGCAATTACATTAATGTATGTGCAAACCTAAAATGCTATGGGAAGAGAGGGAAATAGGTCCACGACGTAGGGTGTGGTGAAGGAAGTAGTAAAGGTGAGCTTAGTGTTGGGTTTGGAAATGGATTAATGTATCTGCAATGCTAAAATGCTGCGGGAAGGGACTGTAGACTGTATCTTAAAATGATTACGAAGCACGAATCGATACATATTTTCGATACATTAATCCATTGCAATCGTTTACAATCGAAATTTACAACTGAGATGACAATAGCTGGTTTTTACTCCATTTAGAGGCTTAAAACGATTTTTACTCCCTAAACATTAAAAATGATACTTTAGACACCCAACGCATGCATTAAATACTTCTGTTTTTACTGCAGTATGACAAAAACAATATAATATGAACCCTTGATGACTCCGCTCAATTTTGTGGATGCCTCTGCGACCGCCACCTAGTAAATTTTAAATTTAGGTACATTCTTTTATTGCAGATATGGTTTTTCCATGTTAATCTTTTGTCAATCGTCATGCCGAGATATTTCACTTCGTGGGATTGCGGAATTTGGACATTATTTAAGGTTACAGGAGGACAAGTACCTAATCTGGTAGTGATAAGGTCACATGAGTAGATTTGCTCTCATTCACTTTTATTTTCCATGTTTGCAACCATTCTTCTAAGTCATCTAGGGAATTTTGAAGATTAAGTGAGTTGATCAGGATGGGACGCTAAAATAGCTGTATCGTCAGCAAAAGTGGCCACAGAAGTATTCACATTTTCAGGTAGATCGGCTGTAAACAGCGTATATAGTACAGGTCCGAGAACACTTCCTTGGGGAACGCCAGCTTGAATTGGGTACAATTTTGTAATGCTATCTCCAAATTTAACTCTGTTTACATTATTATTTATGATTTTAAATTGATTCTCCACTGCATGGCAAGTTTTTTATAGTTTCAACAAAATGATGAATTTATGATACGTTTTAAATGTTTTGTTCAAAAATCTATGCTTTATTGATCTTAGAAAATGTTTAATTATGAAATAAGTGTGACATATCATTTTCAAAGGAACATGTAATTATTCCTTATCGGGTTAGCTTATATATAATGTAAGGTTGGCACTTGCCTTTTTCTTTCTACCCCTATACCATATGGAGAAAGTATGGAGTTTCTGTTATATGGAGAAAGTACTGTTTTAGTCAAAATTTTCGAGTTTGAGTTTTGAGTGGATATATCCGTTATGGGTCCCCCTGGACCCAAAAAAGTGGTTTTCGAAGTGATGTCTGTGTGTCTTGGTGTGTACAGAGCTAGGGACTACACCCGTGGTCCGATTTCGATGAAATTTGGTATGTAGGTTCTAATCCATGGTATCTCCAGGCATTTTTTTTCATTTTTTTGAAATTTTGATTTTTAATGAGGATTTTTCTATAAAAACCGGAAAAATCGGATTTTCTCAAAAATGGCCCGAACGATATTGATACAAATTTAGTATGTTGTAGCCCTTTAAATTCTGAACAAAATGGTACAGATCCCATTTCTGTAAAAGTTACGGTTCAAAAGTTATTGTAAATTATGTTATTTTCCCATAAAAACCCCATAAAACAACGAAATACCCCCGCCGCAGCAAACCTGACGCCTAAGCGAATTTCCATTTGGCTGAATTGATTTTCAATTGATCTATTTAAATAACATTAGGTTTAACGAGTACCTAGGTTTGCTGCTACAAGGAAACTAATAAAGTGTGTGTTTTAAGTAAAATAATTATTGCTTAGTATAAAATTAATATATTTGCCAAGTTTGATCAAAAGATATCCATAAACAAGCAAACTACAACATTTTACAATATTCTCCATAAGAATAACATGGGAATTTTAAATTTACCATTTTTTTAGTTTTCTCCGTAACCAATAGCCGTACAAAAACACTTTGATATACTGAATTGTTTGTTTTTTTAAGCTCTTTAAGAAGGTTTAGAGAAAAATTGGGAAATTTTGTGTTTTGAGGGTCAAAAGTGAGAAAACCCAATTTTTACCCCATAAAACCCTGTTCCCATGGTCCGATCATGCTGGATCGCGATCTCATTCAAGTTTATCCCGCCTTACACCTTCAAACCAAATTTCATCAAAATCGGATAAAAATTACTTAAGTTATCGTGTTCACGGACACACACATATATATATATACATATATAAAAATTTGAACGAGTGGTGTTTTTGGCCTCTGGGGACATCAAAATGAAAAAGTAAATCGGTCCCGGGCCTAAGTCTTACCATGAGACCTACGGTAATAGCTACTTCCCTATAGGGAAATTCGCTAAAATAGGATTTTTGAACAAAAATCCGGTTTTGATTTAACATAGTATGTTATGGTCCTTACAATTTTGATAGCTTTTTTCATTTTTTAAGAAATTTTGATTTTTAATGGAGATTTTCCCATAAAACCCCATAAAATCGGAAAAATAGGATTTTCTCAAAAATGGCCAAAACGATTTTGATAGAAAATGTTCTATGTTACAGTCCTTTATATTCTGAACAAAATGCTACAAATCCTATTTCTGTAAAAATTACGGTTCAAAAGTTATTGTAAATTATGTTATTTTCCCATAAAAACCCCCTAAAATAACGGAAAAATCTGATTTTCCCAAAAATGGCCCGAACGATTTTGATAATGATTTTAATTTGTCAAGTTGAGATTTAAGGTCTTTAACTTTACCATTAACTAATTCTAACTGTTTAGATAAAGTTTCATTTTGTTCTACTACAGTAGGTATCTTGGAAATGGAAAGTCTCATTAAGTTTAGCCTATTTTACATTTTTACATTTATCTATATAAGACTGAAGTTCTAGATTTTTGCAATACAACTCATTATTTTTTAGGACAAGACTTTCATTTTTGTCATAGACTCCTCGTAGAGTTTCAAGAATATCAGATATTTTGTTAATCAAACATGTAAGATCAATATCATGATGGTTTACTACAAATAAGTTAACTATAGCTGAGTTAAAGGTGGTCCTCGTTTTGGTCGTCCAGGGAAGGTCTCGTTAGGTTGCAAGTCGAGTATCGAAAAAAGTCAAAATATCGTACACTTTGTGGGAAATATCGTGGTATGAATATATGGTGCATCTTACAGACCTGAAACTGGCCGGAATTTCAAAAGCTGCTGGCTTGACCGTTTACACATGAATCCTCCTCAGCGTCAACCACGCGTCAACCCAATTTGAACTCCCCGCTGTTGTTATGCACTATAGAACAGAATTTGAACCACGCACTGTAAGAAAGCTCATGATTATGCACTACGAGAAAGCAAAATGTTTCATAGTGAATAATAGTGAAACTGTTTTATAGAGCATAACAGTTATGCACTATAGGACAAATTGGAATTAGGCACCTTAAAACGAATTCACTATCAGGCACTGTAAAATTATGCACTATGAGACCCCACAAGTCATACAATAGATAAAACATACTCCGGTCATACTTATCTCACCAAAGGCGGCCGTGGCAAATGCTTAGCTGCAGTTAAAAAAAAATAGGATTTTTACTGAGGCGAAATGGCCGTAAAAAGAACATTATAATTACATTATAATAACATCAACATTATAATTAGGTACATTAAAAAAACCAAAACAATATTAACGTGAATCATTGATTGTGCACATTTATGTTCAATAACAAAATCTATGTGAACCAACAAAAACCTTAATTGCAGGATGAAATTGGAAGCAACCACAACCACAGATAAACCACAACTCAGTAGTCACTAGTCAGTGTACATCATCGACATATAAAACTGTGTACATCGAGGCTGCCTGGTCTATTAAACCTGCCTGCTAAGCGAACGAACTATGTAGAGGTGTAGAGAGGGAAAAAAAACATAACTTCGAAGCAACGAACGATTGCTACACATCGCAGCTTGCAGCATTAGAATTGCTACCTACCACCACCAGTCCAGTCAGTCAGTACCCAGTAGTACCATACCTACCATTGCTACGAGCTACGAAGTTATGTTTGCTAGTTTGCTTTTATTTCATTTCATTTCGATTGTTGTTATGTTAAATTAAAACATCCTCTGATCCTCTAATCTATAGTGTAGATGTAAAGCAACAGGCATCAGACAACATTTCTTCCTTATAATATTTATTTTTCATTTATTAAGTAGGCCTAAGCTACCCTCCTTGGTTTTTCTGAGATGGGTAGAAAGATTCCTGGTAAAAAACATAAAGGTGTAAAAGATCCACATTTGCAGCAGGCAAGAAGAGAAGAAATGTGAGTGAGTAGGCCAGTGTAGGCCTAGTTCTTTATTCCAAAATTACAAAATAAGTTTGTAGGTATTGAAAAGTCATGTTACAAATTAACATCTCTTGATTAAGGCAGTATGTAGCCCACTAAAGACTATTAACTTAGTTAAATAATTTGGTATTTGTTGAGCGGAGCGAGCGAAGCTCTTATATGTCGACTCTTATGCATTTCGTAATACGCAAACTCCTCCTAGACGGCTGAATCAATCGTTTTCAAATTTTGCATGGTGATAAAGACCATATCGGTGAGTGCCAACATCTATATGGCGTTAAAAAAGTCTCTCAGGAATCCGCCCCATTGGGTCTCAAAAATTTGAAAACGGTTGATTCAGCCGTCTAGGAGGAGTTTGCGTATTACAAAATGCATAAGAGTCGACGTATAAGAGCTTCGCTCGCTCCGCTCAAAAAAATTTTTTTTTGGTAACCATGTAAACCACCTATATTATTGTTCTTTGTCTTATTCTGAACAAAATGTTGATATTTCTTATTTTTATAATGGTTTAAAAATTATATTACATAATCAATAATATCCCTATGCCAGTACAGCGTTACACTATTGCCAGCTCTAGGGTTAAGGTAGGCTATCTGCCTTATCTGTATGAAAACAGGTCCACGACGTAGGAAGTGGCTCAGGAAGTAGTAAAATATGAGCATAGTGTGAGAACCGTCTGTGGCAGTTAGATTATAGCCTAAATGTAACTTCAATCCTAAAATGCTATGAGAAGGGAAGGAAACAGGCCCCACGACGTAGGAAGTGGTGAAGGAAGTAGTAAAGGCTGGCAGTGCAGAGTGTGGGAACCGTTTGGGCAGTTAGATAAATTTACCTATCTGTAAAACTTAAATGCTTTAAGAAGGGAAGGAAACAGGTCTATGACAGGGGTGCCCACAAGGGGGGGCTGTGACGCAGACTGCGTCATTGAAATTCTTGGGGGGGGGGTTGCAAAAATTCAAAAGGGGGTTGCTAAAGTTAATTGCAACAGTGTTCAATGTGACGACAATCAAAAATATATTACGAAGTCACTAGATGGAAAGTCGATTAATTAATGACAATAGTTATAGGCCTACTATTGAATTCAATTAGTTACAATAGGATTTTAGGATAGTTTAGGATTCGTGTAGGAAGTTATTATTCAAGATTAGCAAGACGTGAGATCAAGGGAGGGCACGGAATGGCTCAACTGCTGTGAAGCTGTGATTGGGTTGACATAAAGCTCGTTAAAATACAATCAAGTAGCGTAGGCTACAATGCTTTACACTATTGTGTAGATACTTGATTGCTTGAGTTAATTGGGAGGGGGGTAATTAAAAATACGGTAATCAAATATAGTATATAAACATATGACAAGCCCATTAAAACTCTGTAAACAGCCATTACTGTAACGTCACGATTTGCATTTTTATAAACAAAATTCAATATTGCACAATCATTATTATTGTGCAATAATGACATTTCAAATCATTTATCTTGGTTGTACGCAACCAAGTTGTGTGGTTGTGTGGTTGCGTGGTAGTTGCAAGTGGTTGTGTTGTGGCAACGTTTAAAATTATAGCCAAATCAAACTCAATTAATAACCAGCCAAACACTGCATTGCTATAAATAACGTAAATATCAAACCTTAGAAAGTGTTATTAGCTACTGCTCATGATAGACTCAGACTGATAGGCTACCGGTAGGTGCTGTATAACAACATAGGAATTGATAGATAAGTAATAAAAAGTGTAATTTATATTTTAGAGATAATAAAAACTCTCTTAACCCTCCGAGTGTTATTTAACTACAGCGACACGCAAACACTATTTACGGCGAAGGCTCTATGACTGACTGAATCGGATTGAACTGGATCGAGTTAGGTATCGTTCTTTTCGTTAGATTCTAAGCTTTCTCCAGAGGTCTGTCTCAGCGCTTTATGTTCTCCGAGCCGATCGTAATTGTAGCAGACAGCTGACGTGCGTATTTGTAAACAGCTTGGTTATAACCTCGGACCGATGACTGATGTGTTTTATTAAGTTTATCATTGTTTTAGTGTTAAAAATCAAAAGTAGTGATATACGTGGTGCATTATAAGAAGATTTAAGTGATTTTGAAGGGCTGGTTGATGATCCTGAAGAAGTAGGTAGTGATATTGATGTAAATTATCAGCCAGATTTCTAGCTATGGTTAGGCTATGCATTCTTAGCTAAACGCTATGTACTGAAATCTGTTTTTTGCCCATAACTTATTTATTTGCAAATCGACTTCCTTATATTATTATATATTTGTAATCCTCATAAAATTTAGAACAAAGTGGCTATTTTAAAATATTTATAGGCCTATAATTTATACAATTTCATTGAGCGTGAACTTATTTTTTTTTTGAAAATTTTCCAAAATATTTTTTTTTTACCTAAAAAATTTTTTTTGAACAAATGTTCCTTATGTTTTATATATAATATTGAAGCCCATGATTTTCCAAACAAAATGGTATATACAACAGTATAATTAACATTGTTTTTAAGCTTCTCAGATCCGTTTTAATAATAAAACCTTGCAAATGAGCTAAAAATAGGCAGACATTAAGGCCAAAACAAGGGACACTCGGAGGGTTAAAAAAGAATGTAACGAGAACAATCTTGTTATTCCTTTTCTTTGTTCTTTATTAGGTTTCTCTTCAATTCATACACAAATTCAACAAGTCGTTATATTTAGGCCTACTCATTGCCCAATCACAGCCTTACTAAAGTTACCATGGTTAGGTACTATTCACTCAATCACAGTTACTAAGCATTGTATCGCCATCATTCCCCAGCTGTTGTACTATCTGAAATTCGTTGTAACATAGCGCACAGCAGACGATTGTTGGCGCAAGCGTTGTTTCCATTTCATTTTCATCAAAGGAGCTGGGATGTTTCCAAAGGGAGAGAGAGGGGGTCGTTATATCAAGAGAAAGACGCTGACAATTCGTTAAGCAGAGGTTACGAACCCTATATAGATATTCTGGCAATAAAGAAAATTCCTTAAATTGAGGTGACTTATGAAACTCTAATTTTTTTTATATAGAAAGATAAGTTTTCCAGTCCTGTACAATACTGATTCACGGTCTTTTCCCGGTAATCAAAATTCAAGTACAACTTGATACACACAGAATCTCCGGCTCCCGACCTGGATGATGGCTAGTTATTTAATTTAATTTACACTTACATAATAGTGACCGTGATAAATCAAACCCGTAAGCCAAAGCCACACGGTTATTAATCTCACTTGGTTTTGGATTTGCTTATAAACGTGATCGGAAATGGTTAGCTCTATACACAGTATTCGTAAACAACATTTATGTAAACATTTTAGTAACAGCTAGAAAAAGGAAATATTTATCAAAACAGCTGTTCGTAATTTCATTTATGACGTGTTCACTTAACAGATTATTAGTATTTCTTAAATGACGTATGTAGTAAACACGGAGAAAAAACTTGAAAAATCATACAAAATTGGGTCTTTGATCGTCCGTTTTTTTATTGCCAAAATAGTGAGGCCATATTTTAATGGCTAAGGACACTCTCGCCAATCCTGTGAATACGATTAAACCATTAGAATCATAATCGGTACTCTAGTTTTCTTTAGAGTAGGCTGCGTAAAATGCCCTCTGGGCCGTGACAGACAAACATAAATTGAGATAACACATGTTTCAACTTCTTCAATGTATAAAACGTAAAAATAACCCAAAATATGTATAATTCTAGGCAGTGTACAGACGAAACTATAACTTAATTTATACAGATTAACTGGGTTTGAATTTTCTATATCTAAAAAAAATTATAAAACTTTTAGTTTTACAAATAATGCTGGGCGGCGGAATAATAGTTCTCATTTGTTGTGTACCTCATTTATGGTGTGGGGGGGGGGGTTGCGTCATGAGTCTAGGGAGGGATGGGCACCCCTGTCTATGACGTAGGAAATGGTGAAGGAAGTAGTAAGGCTAGCAATGCAGAGTGTGGGAACTGTCTATGGCAATTACATTAATGTAAGTTAACTGCAATCCTAAAATGCTATGGGAAGAGAGGGAAACAGGTCCACGATGTAGGGAGTGGTGAAGGAAGTAGTAAAGGTGAGTAGTGTTGAGTGTGGGAATGGATTAATGTATCTGTAATGCTAAGTCTGCTTTCAGAGTACACTAATGAGTTTCCCCGAGCAAAGCTCGGTCCCCAGGTACTCTTATACTAATAGCCTTAATATATCTTGTTCGGGCGTTTATTGACAGTTCTATGATGTTGAGTAATAAAATGTTCAAAATTGTTTCATTTTGGTCTATCCAACTAAATTAACATTTGATGTTGTGTATGAAATTGTCTAAGCTTACTTGAGAAAAGCTTATCATGTGATTTTTTAAGAAGCCCGTGTATTAGGGATGAATTGGTTTGTAAATAACTTCTTGATCAGCATTGTACGTGTTATTAAATTTACGGAAAGTAAATAAAAGAAACGTCTTATAACACTTATACATATATTTACGCTTATACTGTTACTCACAAGACGGTAAATATACAAAAAAGATGGTAAGTGGTGATCGATTTCGATTGGACACTCCAATCATCATCAGACCCAATAGGTGAAGGTCTGATATTAATATTGGGTTGTGTATTTGGGTTGTGTTGTGTTTGGGTGGGGTCTGATATAATGTGGGTTGTTGTTATATTTGGGACAGTGGTGTTGTAGTTTGCTTGTTTATGAACATATTTTGATAAAATTTGGAAAATGCATTCATTTCATACTAAATTATTACATTTTACAAAAAACACCTTTTTACCCTCCCTGTTGCAGCAAACCTAAGTACTCGTTAAACTTTTATTTAAATAGGGAATAAATGAGATATTTCTAAGGAGACATTTTAGTGTAAATTCAATCAGGGAAATGGAAATTCGCTTAGTCTGCAGGTTTGCTGCGGCGGGGGTATTTTTAAGTGTGTTTAAGTTTGTTATCATGAATAAATAGTTAAAATTATCGTAACATGGGTTGTTTCCATTGAAACGTAATGTAAAACGGCAGCATTTAGCAATGTTTTTAATTTGTTGTACTTCTGGCCTTTTTTAGTGTGCTCTAGTGGCGAAACGGTTCGTCGTAGAAAGAAACATTATACAGGAAACTTGTAGTAAATTTTGTCATCTTTAATTTCACAAAGCAGGATTTTCTCAAAAACCCATACTTACCGAGATTTGCCCGAAAAACCAAAAAAAGTGCCCAAATTTTAAGGTTTTTCACAAAATAACCAATGTTCCGGGCAAAATATCTGTCAGCAAACCTCATATTCGTGTTCAGCGACCCAAAAAACATAAAGAAAAGTGATGATTAGGACTGTACCTAAACTTTCCTCTAACTGTCACTTATATTCCTAATATGCCTAGCCTACAAGTTCAAAGAAGAAATATTGAAAACGGTAGGAGGAGACAATTAATAATAAGATATCTTATGCGTATGAGCAGAGTAGAAAAAGAGAGGCCTGGTCTAACAGATACCCATCCAAAATACACATTCACTTGGTGAGATGAACAATATTTGCCAGTTCTGCTATGCAACTTACTTACGAAGCACATCGTGTTGTCACGGTGGTAAAGTAAAGTTGCCTAATGTCAGATCAAATGAATGCATGCAAGAAATGTTTACTTCTTACACTGACAGATCAAGATGTTTCAAAACATTTAGTACAAACTATATTAATGCCTTGACTATGATAAGTTCAAGTAGTAAGATTATACCAAATCTTGGCCGACCTTATGTTTTTATTGTAAACTTTTGTGTTACTCGCTCTACTTCAAATGAGAAAAAACGCAAATGGATTGTTTACTTCTAGGTTATGTTGCCAGTTCCTTGGACAAACTTATACAAAGTTTTTTGACTAAATTCACCAGCACAATCCAGACATTTCAAGTCAAAAATGAGAAGTTTCAAGAGCTTATTTACTATTGAAAGTTTTAGTGGCAATATTAGACCAAACATAAGTGAAGGAATTAGTGTTTATGTATTCAACGACAAGTAGTTACGGCCAAGTTTATTTTTATGGTTCAGGAAAGGCAAATAATATACGCTGTTCAAAAAGAGAAAATGACAATTGCTATCCAAATCTTACAAAAGTTGTCCAACCTATTTCGACAAATGAATCCATACTTTCAAAACTTTGGGACAGGTATTAAGAGAAACTCCACTGAACAACGTTAGAATGTTCTGATGCGGGGCATATATACTGTGACTGACAGATAACAAGTTAAAATACGTTAACCAACTTTCCATGGTGTTGCTGCCTTAGCCTATTCAAAACAGATTATGGCTGTCCAGTTGGTAACCCAGAGTTTGTGAGTAAAAAATGGAGCACATGAAATGGTTGATATCACCCAACTTTTCAGGATTCTCTACGGAGAAAATTTGTTTGATTAGGGGGATGTTTCAAATCAAAGGAATAAAATGACCAACTTAAATACTTAACACAGGTTATCAGTAAGGTAACAGTTTTCTTCAATTCTCAATGCTGGAAAAACTTTGTTGCAACATGTTAACTCCAATTGAAGCAGATCGTTTAGCATTCATTAGAAGTTAGGTGAGCCTTGTCGACGCAAATAGAGATATTTAAAATTAGTTTCTAACAAGTGTTTAAACAACTCTAAGATGTAACTAGAATTACTCAAATTTAAGCATAACGTTTTCCTCGGCGTTATGTTTCATACTATGCGGCTCATTGAGCCGCACGGGTTCTCTAGTATATAATATATTAGTATAGCCTAGTTATAGCCTATGTAGCATATGATATGCGGCATACTTTACTTTTACTATACTTCCAGCTTAAAAAATAAAATAAATGCTCCTCCCAAAGAAGTTGATTTCCAAGAAATGCCAAAAAGTGTTGAAAGACTCATGAAACTTAAGCAGATGACCAAAGAAGGATTTTTTGACAAACAAAAGAAAAAGAAGGAAAAACACAAGAAGAATCTTATGGATACTTCAAGATTATTAGGAACAGAAAAAATACTACCAGGTAACAATCAATTTGAACAAATTGAACTTCAATCATGTATTGATCAATGATTTCACTACGCCTATTTCTATACCTCCCATTTATCCTAAGAACATCCTAAGAAATCCAAATCCTTTAAGAAAGCTTTTAGTGGATACACACACATCAAGAGGAGAAGAGTAGGCAAAAAAACTGCTAAATGCCTGATTTAAGGTGCAACTCACAAATAATCGAACCAATCATATTAACAACCTTGAGTTGTCCACCATTATTTTAGATGGACCTCTCCCACCTAGCTTTCCAAAAGACCAGTGGACTCCCTACGTGTTGAACTCTCACTCTAAAGTTTTGTCTCATGGCCTATGGATGTCTCCTAAACTGCTCGGCTATTGATCAGACCAAACAGTATATTGCACTAAGTAACAACACTGGTAATTCAAAGTCCAAACGTGGTACTTAAGTTATAATACTTACTCCCAGAGGGACTGTAGGGATCAAAAGAACAAAGGATTCTTAAAACCACCTGATTGCTAATTCTAGATTATTGTCCCATTTAAGAGTTTGTTTTGTTTAGGAATGTCAAAGCCTGACCGAACCCTACCTCGTTTGGTCCAACGTCCAGGAGAGTCTAATAAAACATTCTTGTATCGTGTCAGTCAAGCCACAAATGACTTTGTTAAAGAGGTAAGAGAGACTGTTTAACTTTCTCCCCCTATACATAGTATGCGGAGAAGGTATTGTTTTCTTCAACATTTTTGAGTTTGAGTTTTGAGTAGTTATAACAGTTTTGGGGTTTTCAAAGTGATGTCTGTCCGACTGTGTGTGTCTGTCGGACCGGTAGTCCGATTTAGATGAAATTTGGAATGTAGGTGCTAATCCATGGTATCTCGAGGCGTTTTATTATTTTTCTTTAATTTTGATTTTTAATGGTGATTTTTCAATAAAAACCCATAAAATATTAGAAAAAACTGATTTAAAAAAAACGGTTCTCATTGAAATTTGTCTGTTATTGTCCTTATGATTTCAAAACAAAATAGTGCAACCTGTAAAAATTAGTTTCAAAAGTTAATGCAACTTTTGTGATTTTGCCTATTAAATATCATAGTTACTTTAATTGCTTACCTATGATAAAGGATGTTGGACAAGCTATAGAGCGAGGTGAATAAAAACAAGTGATGACTTGAGAGTGTTCACTAAGCATGTCTAGTCTACTCTAAAATAACTTGTGAATAAATACACGGGTTCACTCGCGAGAGTTGTCTAGTGGTACAGAGGGTTGCCTCTTGCACTGGCAAGTGATCACTTATAGAGAACACTTGTTTTTGAAAGAGGACACTCGTTTTTCATAATAAAAACAAACATTCTCACTTGGGCATTTTGAAAACTACTTGAGCAATTAAGCTGATTTTTTTCATAAATAGGGTTGATACAACCGCAGGCTTAATGGTCATAGTAATCTTTTATTTTACTATGCTCTCTTAGGGCTCAGCCCTGACAGCTTATTAAGTCCACTGTTGTTCTTCGAAGCAACCACGAAAAGCCACTCGAAATGCCACCCAAACCGGTACGGCAATCAATAGTTTTAGCCCACTAAAACTTATGAAGTCAAACGGGGCGAAGCCTGCGGGTAACAGCTAGTTATAGTATAATTGTTAGTTGTTTACCATACAAATAAGATTTTTCCTGATCTTTTCAGCTATGTTGGATCACATTTTCAATTACAATATATGTCCAAAATTTGAAGTTTGACTAATCTATGAGTGTTTTTTTAACAATTTAGTTTAATACATTTTCATATCCTTTTTTAGGTCAAATTTGAAGTCAAGCACAACATGAAAATGAAAAGAGATGAAACAACTGGAGAGGTCAAGTTTGACAAAGTGGAGGTGCATCCAGTGGACAAAATGTTTAAAGACAAACTTGAAGCCTCTAATAGCCGGAAATCAAAATACAGTAAAAAAAAGAAAGTAGCAGGTGAGATACTGAAAAGTAATACTTAATTTGACTGGCTTAAAAACCCCAAATTATCCACCCACAACATCTATCTATATATATAATACGCTAAGCCGATTTTTGTGAACAGAACTCCTCTCTCATTTTTAGACCGATTTTAATGATTAAAGTGTAAAAAAAATGGCCCTAATCTGTAGTTTTGCAAAGTGTTTTTAAATTGTTGAAATCTTTATTAGTTTGGGCAGGATTTTCCATAAAAGTTGGGATTCCTCCCATAAGATTAACATGGGGGAATCTAAATATTTAAAGGGAAACTTTGTGTCCACTAATTTGAGAGAACGGCTGGGCGTAGAAACTTGGTAGAGGTGTCCAAAGAAAGGTCTTGGTCTGTAGATGAGTTATCAAAAGAAAAACAAAGTAAATTCCCCTAGGGCTCTGCCCCAGAGGCCTTTAAAGATCCCTACACAGATTTGTTTACATTTTGACCATGTGGATAATACTTTTTAATGAAACAGCTGTTAATTTTTAAATTGTATTTAAACAACACACTTTGAGCGCGTTCTGGGAACATGTATCGGTGCACCGGTGCAAAAAATGTGTTGTTCTGGGTGACCGGTGAGCTAACCTAGCAGACAGCTATTTCCTCTTTTTCCTCCACCGATGCAAGATTTCTGCACCGGAGAAATTGTACGGTGCATAATACACCGGCAGCCTCTGATTGGTCAGTTTCTTTGACAACAGCTTGTAGCTACGGCAAGATGGCGGGTCCACCGTTATAATAATGTTCATTAGTTTTATAGGTTATGTTGCGTAATGAGTGAAAATTTTTTCAATGAGGTGGTTATATTACGTAATAAATAATAAATAATAATTTTCTAATAATTTATTCCGTGAGGGCAAGTCTGTTTGTTTGATTTAAATGTAATAAAGCAAATAGTAGATGAATGTGTAAATTATAATCCGATGTGTACCGTAAACCGGTGACTAACCGTTCTGGGATACCAAGACTCTTGCCCCGGGGCGGCACCGATGAGTAAGCCACCGGTTAATCTGCACCGGTGCACCGGTACACGTTCCCAGAACGCGCCCATTTATTTATTGGGAGTTACTGAGTTGTCCAAAAGAAGTATTTGCAATGTTATTATCTGATTTTAAAATTGATTTTCTTCTGTATCATGTCATGTTTTGCAATAACGTTCTATTACAAAATCAGTGGAAAATCCTTTTATCACAGTAACTCTATTAACATTATTTCTTATTGAACTATCTTATATCTATTGTACGGGGTTTCTGTCTGCCTTTTTCACCACTTTGTCTATGCTTTATCATTCTAGACCAGACAGATCATCATAGGTTCATGAGATTATTGTTATTCATTTTTTCAATCTGTGGAAAAATCTTCCATTGTGTAATACAATACAAAATAATACAAGTGCAGAAGCGGACGATGCCCATATAAGCTGTGTCCATATTTTGTTAAATTAATAGTAGTTTAGATCAACTGGATAAAACATTTTACAATATTTATGTAGAATTATGTGCATGATTTAGAAAGTCATTAAGCTGGAAATCTGCAATTTACTGCAGACTTTTCAGAGAGGTTACTTCGATGTATTCATTCGCCTTAGTGAAAACATAATATGAGACGTAGGAATTGGCTAACTCAGGAACTCGCTAACTCGGTCGCGTGTCGGAACTGGCTAACTCTGGAACTGGCTAACCGTCTCAGTCAGGAATTGGCTAACTCCGGAACCCGCTAACTCGATTTTGTCTCGCGGCGGAAGTCGCTAACCCGGCCGCGCCCACGCACGGAGCGTTGCCAACCTTGTACGACGAAATAATCGTATACTGCCAAATTTAAAAATGTCAGTGTCAATGAAGATACAGTAAATGTTATTGTTATTTGTTATCGATTCTACTTTTAACAGACAACTAGCCCAAAGTAATTCAAAGACAATAAAAAAATCATGAAAAGGTGTTTTTTTATTTAACTGTAATGGCCAATTTAATGTTTATGATTTTGTCTTAAATGTAAATGCCATCAGTATAAAAGAAAATAATTGAATATGAAAACTATTGAAAATTCAGTTTAATAGGTACTAAATAGTTAAACCTCTACGAAATTAAGCTAAAATACACACAAGTTCTCAAACACAGAAAACAAATTTAATCGTAATGTCGTAATAAACCAAAACTATTAATTAATACAGTCATCAATCATCGTAACTGATGAAATGAGAGAATAAAATACATAAAATACTTTATTAATAATTGATGTAAAAAGGAAAGATATTAAAACATTAACACTTCAAACTGTGAACATATTAGAACAACAAAATAATCACAAGCAGCTGATATAAAAAGATACATTAAAAAGATATTTGATTATATAGCATTAAGCAAAGCAATACTATATAAAATCCTCAACATTCCCCCTTAATCAAACATCTTTTTTTTATTTAATCTGAGTCTTTAAGTCCCAAGTCCGTCACAAAGTGATTACATTTTTCACGTGACAAAGGTTTGGTTAAAATATCAGCCGTCATATTTTCAGTTGGCAAATACTTAATTTCAATTAACTTCTTTTGTACAGCTTCTCTTATGAAGTGATGTCTAACATCAATATGCTTCGTGCGATTATGAGCTTGAGTGTTTTGAATAAACTTCTGAGCACTTTGATTGTCATTATACAGTACAACAGTGTAGAGCTTGTCACTTATCTCACTTAAGAAGTTTTTCATAAAACACACCTCTTTAGTTACATCACTCATTGCTAAATCAGGGTGTCTACCAGATATCTCAAATGGAATTCCCGACTTTTTCCCGACTTTTCATTACCATTTTTATATAAATCCCGACCAAACACTCGGTCCATTCTCCATGTTACTACACCTTTTTCCGTCTCGCGGTCACGGTACCTTCGTCAACATATGTTGTCACTTACGACCCAGCGAAATCACTGAAGATCGAAACGTATCACATGCCAAGAAAATCCCGTATTAAATGTAGGGGTGTGTGAAGCAGCAAAACATTTCAACTCAAAGCAACGATTCGATTTAAAAAAATGTTGATGTAACTCGGTTCGAAGCAACATGGATTTTTCTATTCATACTTCTCAGTGGAGTGAAATATCTGTTTTCAATCATACATTAGAAGAACCAGTATTTCTAGAAATATCAGTGAGCTTCTTGCCTATTTCATAATTTTTACTTGCAGCATCATGTTGTTAAGTATGTTACCTATTTTATTTTATTCATTTTATAAATAAAGATATGTTTGGGTGTAAACAAATAAAAACCTTTGTAAGATTTAAATACTGAATCTTTCAATTGGTTTACATTGATAAAATAAGAGGATAGAATCAGAACTACAAGGTATACATAACTTCTTGTATGGCGAAGCAATGTCTCAGTGTATGCCATGTACTTGGATGGCAATAACCTGTATGGCTAAGCAATGTCTCAGTGTATGCCATGTACTTGGATGGCAATAACCTGTATGGTCAAGCAATGTCTCAGTGTATGCCATGTACTTGGATGGCAATAACCTGTATGGTCAAGCAATGTCTCAGTGTATGCCATGTACTTGGATGGCAATAACCTGTATGGCTAAGCAATGTCTCAGTGTATGCCATGTACTTGGATGGCAATAACCTGTATGGCTAAGCAATGTCTAAGTGTATATCATGTACTTGGATGGCAATAACCTGTATGGCTAAGCAATGTCTCAGTGTATGCCATGTACTTGGATGGCAATAACCTGTATGGCTAAGCAATGTCTCAGTGTATGCCATATACTTGGATGGCAATAACCTGTATGGCTAAGCAATGTCTCAGTGTATGCCATGTACTTGGATGGCAATAACCTGTATGGTCAAGCAATGTCTCAGTGTATGCCATGTACTTGGATGGCAATAACCTGTATGGTCAAGCAATGTCTCAGTGTATGCCATGTACTTGGATGACAATAACCTGTATGGCTAAGCAATGTCTCAGTGTATGCCATGTACTTGGATGGCAATAACCTGTATGGCTAAGCAATGTCTAAGTGTATATCATGTACTTGGATGGCAATAACCTGTATGGCTAAGCAATGTCTCAGTGTATGCCATGTACTTGGATGGCAATAACCTGTATGGCTAAGCAATGTCTCAGTGTATGCCATATACTTGGATGGCAATAACCTGTATGGCTAAGCAATGTCTCAGTGTATGCCATGTACTTGGATGGCAATAACCTGTATGGCTAAGCAATGTCTAAGTGTATATCATGTACTTGGATGGCAATAACCTGTATGGCTAAGCAATGTCTCAGTGTATGCCATGTACTTGGATGGCAATAACCTGTATGGCTAAGCAATGTCTCAGTGTATGCCATATACTTGGATGGCAATAACCTGTATGGCTAAGCAATGTCTCAGTGTATGCCATGTACTTGGATGGCAATAACCTGTATGGTCAAGCAATGTCTCAGTGTATGCCATGTACTTGGATGGCAATAACCTGTATGGTCAAGCAATGTCTCAGTGTATGCCATGTACTTGGATGGCAATAACCTGTATGGCTAAGCAATGTCTCAGTACTCAGTGTATGCCATGTACTTGGATGGCAATAACCTGTATGGCTAAGCAATGTCTCAGTGTATGCCATGTACTTGGATGGCAATAACCTGTATGGTCAAGCAATGTCTCAGTGTATGCCATGTACTTGGATGGCAATAACCTGTATGGTCAAGCAATGTCTCAGTGTATGCCATGTACTTGGATGGCAATAACCTGTATGGCTAAGCAATGTCTCAGTGTATGCCATGTACTTGGATGGTAATAACTTGTATGGCTAAGCAATGTCTCAGTACTCAGTGTATGCCATGTACTTGGATGGCAATAACCTGTATGGCTAAGCAATGTCTCAGTACTCAGTGTATGCCATGTACTTGGATGGCAATAACCTGTATGGTCAAGCAATGTCTCAGTGTATGCCATGTACTTGGATGGCAATAACCTGTATGGTCAAGCAATGTCTC